GTACACACTACATGGCTGTGTATACGCGCTACAGGGCTGTGTGTACGCGCTACAGGGCTGTGTGTACGCGCTACAGGGCTGTGTGTACACTACAGGGCTGTGTGTGTACGCTACAGGGCTGTGTGTACACACTACAGGGCTGTGTGTACGCGCTACATGGCTGTGTGTACGCGCTACATGGCTGTGTGTACGCGTTACAGGGCTGTGTGTACGTGATAGGGCTGTGTGTACACACTACAGGGCTGTGTGTACGCTACAGGGCTGTGTGTACACTACAGGACTGTGTGTACAGCAACATCGCCACCCTACTGGCAGACTAACACACAGGGACAGCTGCCACTGGGGGTGCCCCCTAGGCTAGATCACACAACAGCAGCAACATCGCCACCCTACTGGCAGACTGACGCACAGGGACAGCTGCCCCTGGGGGTGCCCCCTAGGCTAGGCCACACAGCAGCAGCAACATCGCCACCCTCCTGGCAGACTGACGCACAGGGACAGCTGCCACTGGGGGTGCCCCCTAGGCTAGGCCACACAGCAGCAGCAACATCGCCACCCTACTGGCAGACTGACGCACAGGGACAGCTGCCACTGGGGGTGCCCCTAGGCTAGGCCACACAGCAGCAACATCGCCACCCTACTGGCAGACTGACGCACAGGGACAGCTGCCACTGGGGATGCCCCCTAGGCTAGGCCACACAGCAGCAGCAACATCTCCACCCTCTCCCCGATTGTGAAACTTCAGCGGCACCGCGGCCCGTCCTGCGAGAACACGTTGCAGCCGGTGTCAATCGCAGGACAACGATTTGAATCGATATGCGGCACTAGCTTATTACACGTACATATATTATTATGATTTTCGTTTAAATACATGAAACCATAAATAGAACGTAAACATTGTTTTTTTCTTCTTCCGTAAACAACACGAGCGGATGCATCAACAAGACAAAGCCACGCAAAAAAGTGTACGAGTCGCAAACATTTCCAAACCTGTCAACCCATCACGGTTTAAGCCCCGTACTCTTGTGCAGGAGAATTGAGTTTTCAGGGTCCATTTCAATACGGGCAACACAACTCTAACTTTGTGTCTATGTGTTTGTGTTTATAGCTTGCGATGGGACTTTGTAGATGGAACGTTGAGATTTATAAGGGGCACGGGGTGACCAGTAAGGTTTGAGTTGGCCTGTAATCAGGTAGGGCACTGATAAGGGGTTGGCGGCTATGTAGTGGTGTAGTGTATAGTGTAGTGTATAGTGTAGTGTATAGCAGCAAACCCGTCAACCCATCACGGTCTAGCCCCGTATTCCGGTGAGTTTTCAGGTCCATGCGGCGTACAGCCGTTTCAATGCGGGCAACACAACTACAACTTTGTGTCTATGTGTTTGTGTTTCTCCCTTGCGATGGGACTTTGTCGGATGAACGCCGAGATTTATAAGGGACACGGGGTGACCAGTGAGGTCTGAGTTGGTCTGTAATCAGGTAGAGCACTGATAAGGGGTTGACAGCTGTGCGTTGATCATGCCACGAGAATAATAAAAGCTCACAAGGCCAAAATTTCGCCAGCAAAATAAATTTTACATCTTCAGCATTTCTCACCCCAATGCTCTTATATACAGTACATAGCCCCTCCCCTCCATATACCACCCCCCACAGCCCCTCCCTTCTTAATACTGTACAGAGACTCCTCTACTTAAGGACGGGTTAGGTTCCAGAGGTACTAAATTTTTGACTTTAAACTTTCGTGCATGCAGGAATTCATTTTTCTTTGGTCCTTTCGGTAAAGTCACGGAGATGGAAAAATAATAATAAAGTGAATAAAAATAATAAAACAAAAAAATAGAAACCACGACGCTTCGATCACGAGACAAGCGGTCGTCACCAGGAAACGGGGGTGGTTAGCCTCTAAAGGCAAACTGTCTATAAAGGTTTAAAATGGGCGTAGCCCAAGTGTGTCAGCAGCATGGGCGGGGCAGCTTATGTTAATGTAAGTGATGGTAGTAGTGGGTAACGACGGGGTTGGTGGTGGGTTTCCACCAATTAAAGAGCTGCCAGGTAATCATTGCACCTCGCTTTACACACTCACACTGGTGACGGTGGGGGTTGCTGCTAGTGGTGATGGTAGTAGTGGGTAATGATGGTACAGGTGGTGGGCTTCCACCAATAGAGCACTACTGCTAGAGGTGACGGTAGTAGTGGTAATGATGGTACTATTGATGGAAATATTACAGGCAGTTATGACTTGAACTGGTTGATAACGTCCTTCCAGTGATCGCTGAGTTTGTACCAATCTTCTCCGTTGAAATTGTATCTATGTCTGTATATATGGATGGCTTCGTGAACGAATCTTTGTTGACAGCCAGTGGGTTTGCAAAGTACCTTCGTCTTAGAGAAATCAATTTCGTGTAAGCCAGCTGCATTAATGTAGCCCTTAAGGGATTGGGACACATCGCTGCAGACGTGACAAGATCTGAAATCACTGCAAATATCAAAAGCGCTAAGATACCAGTCAGCAACATCAGTAAGGATGAGCGTTTTGAGTTATCTCAATTGAAAAAGATGGATGATATCGTCATCCTCTCAGCCGACAAGGGCAATGCCATGGTGATCATGGACAAAACCGTGTATAACAACAAAATGCAGGACCTATTTAATGATGGTAGCTACACAAAAAAATTTAAGAGATCCCACCAACAGCCTCGTTATAAAAACGAACAGTATCATCACTCATTCAGCTTCATAAATTTAACAGAACAAACGGTTTTCCTTAAAACCTTCTGTTGCTAGACCACCCAGACTATATGGCTTACCAAAATCCATAAAGAAGGTACAACCCTTCGTCATATCGTCTCCACCATCGGCTCACCCAACTACAAACTGGCCCGATATCTGGCTGAGACCTTACAGCCATTCACTGGTAAGACCACTTTTTCCGTACTTAACTCAGCTCACCTAGTCTCATCAATTAAGGACATCTCATTGTCCCCAGGTGATTTGTTCGTTAGTTTCGATGTACTGTAGTTTCTTTGTTCACCAAAGTTCCGATGTCCGACACCACTGCAATCATTGAAGATTTGGTCCAACAAGGATTGAATGCTGATGTACGGGCCCTGGTGAGACACTGCCTCACCAATACATACTTCACCTGGAATGGAACATTCTACAAACAAACTGAAGGCACCCCAATGGGTTCTCCCTTATCTCCGGTTGTAGCCAGACGAAGGTACTTTGCAAAGCCACTGGCTATCAACAAAGATTCGTTCATGAAGCCATCTATATATATACAGACATAGATACAATTTCAACAGAAAAGATGGGTACAAACTCAGCGATCACTGGAAGGACGTTATCAACCAGTTCAAGTCATTTTGCCTGTAATATTTCCATTTTATACCTGGCAACCCTTTAATTAGTGGAAGCCCACCACCTGTACCATCACTGCCCACTACTACCATCACCTCTAGCAGCAACCTCCACCGTCAACAGTGTGGTTGTTTAAAGCGAGGTGCAATGATTACCTGGCAGCCTTTTATTTGGTTGAAACCCACCACCAGCGCTGTCATTGCCCGCCCATGCTGCTGATACTTGGGCTACACCCATTTTAAACCTTTATAAACAGTTTTGCCTTTAGAGGCTAACCACCCTTTTCCTGATGACGACCGCTTGTGTTGCGATCGAAACATTTTTTGTTAAATTAACTTTTTGATTATTATTTTTTCTATCTACGTGACTTTACCGAAAGAACCAAAGAATACGAATCCAGAGGTACTTGTTCGTAAGTCGAGTTGTTCGTAAGTCCAACTTTAGCACCCGTCGATTCCAAACGTTGTATGGTGTGTACACTAGACATGGGGAATGGCTTTAAAAGTTGTCTAATCTCCTGTAGATGCCACTGGTTTTTCACGTTCTGCAGATGTAGATGCCACTGGTTCTTCACGCTCTGCAGATGTAGATGCCACTGGTTTTTCCCGTTCTGCAGATGTAGATGCCACTGGTTCTTCACGTTCTGCAGATGTAGATGTCACCGGTTCTTCACGCTCTGCAGATGTAGATGCCACTGGTTTTTCACGTTCTGCAGATGTAGATGCCACTGGTTCTTCACGTTCTGCAGATGTAGATGTCACCGGTTCTTCACGTTCTGCAGATGTAGATGCCACCACCGCCATCAATCGCGCAGAGGTTTAACTTACGACTCTCGGTCCAAGCAGGCAACTGGCCAATACGGAACAGGTTCGTTCGTATCTATAAAAGTTTCGTGAGTCGAATGTTCATAAGTAGAGGAGCCCCCGTATACCACCCCCCACAGCCCCTCCCCTCGGTCCCCCACAGCCCCTGCCGCTACAATACCCCCCCCCCCCCACAGCCTCTCCCGACCCCACAGGCCCTCCCCTCGGTCCCTCACAGCCGCATCATTTCCAGTGGAGCGCGAGACGACCCCACCCCGCCCCACCCCCCACACCCCGCCCTCCACCCCACCCCCCGGGGGTTTCGTATCTCGCACGCGATCGCCTTGCGCGTGCGCAGACGGCGGCTGGCGACGTCGCCCGGCCTGGAGCCTCGGGCCCTGGCCTCGTGGGCCCAGCTAAGGCTCTCGTGGGCCCAGCCTAGGCCTAGTAGGTCCAGCCTAGGCCTAGTAGGTCCAGCCAAGACCTCTTGGGCCCAGCCTAGGCCTAGTAGGTCCAGCCTAGGCCCCGTGGGCCCAGCCAAGACCTCGTGGGCCCAGCCTAGGCCTAGTAGGTCCAGCCTAGGTCTAGTAGGTCCAGCCTAGGCCTCGTGGGCCCAGCCAAGACCTCGTGGGCCCAGCCAAGGCTCTCGTGGGCCCAGCCAAGGCCTCATCACCCACCTACTCCGCTCACTCACAAAGACAAAGATTCCCTCCTCCCCCCGACCGTATAGCCTAAGCAGACTGTTGGGGCAAGTGCTGTTAGCCAGCGTGGCTGCTCGCTAACAGCACACCCGGCCCGCCTGTGTCTCCCCAGCGGCGATGGTTGCTACACGCCGCACCAGGTGTACTAATTTTGTGGCCGAGTCGACCTAGAGGGGAGGCCCAGGACTGGTTCAGATAATGGTCACCAGTGGTGGTGGTGGTGGCCGTGGGCGGGAATCGAACTCGGGTCGCCCACCGGGGGTTACGTAGTGCTCACCGCTTACCGCTCACTTGCTCGCCCACCCGCTCGCCCGCCCGCTCGCCCACCCACCCGCTCGCCCACTCGCTCATCCACTCACACGTACGTAGACCTCACAGCATCGCCGCCCGCGTCGCCCGCGGAATCCGCGGGCCTCTCCTTGGCGTCCACCGATCCGTAGGTGGCCTCCCTCGGCATCCCCCCGTCGTCCTCCTTGAGCTTCCGGTACGTGATGTCCGAACCTCCCTCGTCGTCGTCGTCGTCATCGCCGCCGTCGCCAGCGGCCCGGCCTCCCGCGGCCCGCTGCCGGGCCCTCCGCACGCGGTACGCCACAATGAAGAGGCCGGCCTCGGCCGCCTGGAAGAGGGCGTAGAGGAGCGGGAAGAGGAAGATGGCGCCGATCGCCTCCGGGTGGAAGGTCAGCTTGAGGATGGCGGTGCACAGCTGGACGTTCTGGCAGCCCGTCTCCATCGAGATGGTGCGGCACAGCGAGGGCGGCAGGCGGCAGAGCCTGGCGAGGCCGAAGCCGACGCCGTAGCCGACGAGCGGCATGAGGACGGCGACGAGGTAGACGGTGGCGGGCAGCTGGCCCATGAGGTCGGGGCCCAGCAGGGAGCCGGTGAGGATGAAGAGGACGCCGAGGATGGGCAGCAGCAGCCACACGGACACCTGACCACGGGGTAGGGGGGGGGGGTTCACGTCGTCGTCAAGATGATAACGACAATGACGACGATGATGATTGGTCATCGTGGTTGGTTGTGGTTGTTGTTGATCTATGTCTCTGCTTTATTGACCTGGTCAAGGCCTATGATACCATCAGTAGGCCTGTGCTCTGAGTTGTTCTTCTTGCTTTCAGAGTCCCTGACCCTCTGCTCACGATCATTAAGGACCTTCATTAACGGTGAGCGGGCCCGGTTAAAACTACGTGGCCGGGAGTTTGAGCCCTTCCCTGTACACCTTGGGGTGCGACAGGGATGTCCTCTGGCTCCCACATTATTTAACATCATCTTTGACCACGTAGTTAGAGAAGCTTCCCATGGCTGTACCGGAGGAATTTCCATTTGGTAAAGATACAATGGGAGGCTGATCGATGCCCGGGTGCGGTCAAGGGATGGCTCCCTATTGCTCAACCACGTTATGTATGCCGATGATCTGGTAATTGCTGCTCACTCAGAGGAGGAGTTGAAGGCGCTGCTGCTGAACCTGGAATGTGCCACTAAGAGGTGGGACCTTAACATCAGTGCACCAAAACTAAGCACCTGCCTGGGTATTTTGTACCATCGGACAGTCCACCCCCTCACCTCCCCATTTGTGATGGAGCAGTTGTGGAGAGTTTCTCATACCTGGGCAGAATGCTTATGACCAGCTCCAGTTTGACAGCAGAGGTGTCATTCCAATTCAGTCGAGCGGCATTACTTTTTCATCGGCTGCACGATGCTGTGTAGAAGCTACCTGGTCTGTCGCTCCGCACAAAGCTTCGGGTCTTCTCGGCCAAAGTCATTCCCTCCCTTCTCTACGCTTGTGAAACGTGGACCCCTCTAATCTGCGCCGGTTAGAAACATTCAGGCTGGCATGCTTACGATCCATCCTGGGTTTAAACCAAGGTTGGATTGTGTGAGGAGCTCATAAATCCATGATAGATCTGGACAAAGTCCCATCGGTGAGCTCCTCCGGCAGGCAAGGCTGCGTTGGCTGGGTCATGTAGCCCGCATGCCCAGCCACGCCATAGGTTGTAGAAGAGATGGACTGATGCGATATGGGAGGACATGGAGCTGAGTGGACTTGCCGACGACTGGTACCAGCGGTGTCAAGATCGGCCTCTGTGGAAGAGGCTCGTGTAGGACGCTGCTACTGGGCAGTTGGAGGCAGTCGCCCTCAAGCAACAGAGGGCAGAGGAGCGACTCTCACAACAACGAGCGGAGCTAGAACAGCAAGTTGGCACAGTGGTACAGCTGGTGGTGGTGCATCTACCGGTCATCTCAGTCAGCCAACCCAGGGTGTCTGCTGGGTTCTGTCCCGCGACCTCCTGTCAGCAGCGAGCCTTCGACACTTCACGCGGCCTCAAAGTGCACCGCGCGTTGCGTGTTGGTAAGGCGTTAAGTGTTGGTAAGGTGTTGAGTGCTGGTAAGGTGTTGCGTGTTATTAAGGCATTGAGTGCTGGTAAGGTGTTGCGTGTTTGGTAAGGCGTGGCTGGGCTGGTAAGGCGTTGAGTGCTGGTAAGGCGGTGCGTGTTGGTAAGGAGTTGTGTGTTATTAAGGCGTTGAGTGTTGGTAAGGCGTTGCTGGGCTGGTAAGGCATTGCGTGTTATTAAGGCGTTGAGTGCTGGTAAGGTGTTGCGTGTTTGGTAAGGCGTGGCTGGGCTGGTAAGGCATTGAGTGCTGGTAAGGCGTTGTGTGTTATTAAGGCGTTGAGTGTTGGTAAGGCGTGGCTAGGCTGGTAAGGCGTGGCTGGGCTGGTAAGGCGTGGCTGGGCTGGTAAGGCGTTGCGTGTTGGTTAGGCGTTGAGTGTTGGTAAGGCGTGGCTGGGCTGCTAAGGCGTGGCTGGACTGCTAAGGCGTGGCTGGGCTGCTAAGGCGTGGCTGGGCTGCTAAGGCGTGGCTGGGCTGCTAAGGCGTGGCTGGACTGCTAAGGCGTGGCTGGACTGCTAAGGCGTGGCTGGGCTGCTAAGGCGTGGCTGGCCTGGCCAGGGCTGGGGTGTTCACCTTGAGGATGACGTCTGCGGCGCCAGGTGCCCGATGGCGCAGCACGGCTCCGGCGGCGAGCGGCACGAGCGTGCCGCACAGCGTGAGTGCGATGGCGCCGAAGGGCAGCATCTGCACGACGGGCGTGTCGAGCCAGTGGCGGCTGTAGACCCAGAGGCACAGCGGCATCAGCGGCAGCGCCAGCAGGGCAGATGAGGCCGTCATGATGATGCTGGACGGGGCGGGGGGGGGTGGAGAGGAGGGCACGGAGGACGCTACGGACGGGCGGATGGTCACGCACGTCCAGAGACTCGTAGAGATATACAGAGACTCATAGAGAGATACACAGAGACTAATAGAGATAAACAGAGACTAATAGAGATACGCAGAGACTCATAGAGATACACAGAGACTCGTAGAGATACACAGAGACTCGTAGAGACACAGAGACTCATAGAGATACACAGAGACTCATAGAGAGATACAGAGACCCATAGAGACACAGAGACTAATGGAGATACACAGAGATTGTAGAGATACATAGAGACTCATAGAGACACATAGAGACACACAGAGACTCATAGAGATACACAGAGACTCATAGAGAGATACAGAGACGCATAGAGACACACAGAGACTAATAGAGATACGCAGAGACTCATAGAGATACACAGAGACTCATAGAAATACAGAGAGACTGATAGAGATACACAGAGACTCATAGAGACACACAGAGACTCATAGAGACACACAGAGACTCATAGAGAGACGCACAGAGACGCATAGAGATATACAGAGACTCATAGAGACACACAGAGACTCAGAGACACACAGAGACTCATAGAGACACACAGAGAGACGCATAGAGATACACAGACTCATAGAGAGACACAGAGACTCATAGAGACTCATAGAGAGACACACAGAAACGCATAGAGACATACAGAGACTCATAGAGACACACACAGAGACTCGTAGACATACACAGAGACTGATAGAGATACACAGAGACTCATAGAGAGATACACAGAGACTCATAGAGATACACAGAGACTAATAGAGATACACAGAGACTCGTAGAGATACACAGAGACTCAGAGATACACAGAGACTCATAGAAATACATAGAGATCCAGAGACTCATAGAGACACACAGAGACTCAGAGATACACAGAGACTAATAGAGATACACAGAGACTTGTAGAGATACACAGAGACTCATAAAGACACACAGAGACTCATAGAGACACACAGAATCATAGAGATACATAGAGATCCAGAGACTCATAGAGATACACAGAGACTCAGAGACACACAGAGACTCATAGAGACACAGAGACTCATAGAGATACACAGAGACTCATAGAGAGATACAGAGACCCATAGAGACACAGAGACTAATAGAGATACTCAGAGACTTGTAGAGATACACAGAGACTTATAGCGACACACAGAGACTCATAGAGATACACAGAGACTCATAGAGAGATACAGAGACGCATAGAGACACACAGAGACTAATAGAGATACACAGATACTCATAGAGATACACAGAGACTCATAGAAATACAGAGAAATTCATAGAGATACACAGAGACTCATAGAGACACAGAGACTCATAGAGACACACAGAGACTCATAGAGAGACACACAGAGAGACGCATAGAGATACACAGAGACTCATAGAGACACACAGAGACGCATAGAGACACACAAAGAGACACATAGAGATACACAGACTCAGGGAGATACACAGAGACTCATAGAGACACACAGAGACTAATAGAGACACACAGAGACTCATAGAGATACACAGAGACTCATAGAGACACACAGAGACTCATAGAGACACACAGAGGCTCATAGAGACACACAAAGAGACGCATAGAGATACACAGAGACTCATAGAGACATACAGAGACTCATAGAGACACACAAAGAGACGCATAGAGATACACAGAGACTCATAGAGATACACAGAGACTCATAGAGAGATACAGAGACGCATAGAGACACACAGAGACTAATAGAGATACGCAGAGACTCATAGAGATACACAGAGACTCATAGAAATACAGAGAGACTGATAGAGATACACAGAGACTCATAGAGACACACAGAGACTCATAGAGACACACAGAGACTCATAGAGAGACGCACAGAGACGCATAGAGATACACAGAGACTCATAGAGACACACAGAGACTCAGAGACACACAGAGACTCATAGAGACACACAGAGAGACGCATAGAGATACACAGAGACTCATAGAGAGACACAGAGACTCATAGAGACTCATAGAGAGACACACAGAAACGCATAGAGACATACAGAGACTCATAGAGACACACACAGAGACTCGTAGACATACACAGAGACTCATAGAGATACACAGAGACTCATAGAGAGATACACAGAGACTCATAGAGATACACAGAGACTAATAGAGATACACAGAGACTCGTAGAGATACACAGAGACTCAGAGATACACAGAGACTAATAGAGATACACAGAGACTTGTAGAGATACACAGAGACTCATAAAGACACACAGAGACTCATAGAGACACACAGAATCATAGAGATGCATAGAGATCCAGAGACTCATAGAGATACACAGAGACTCAGAGACACACAGAGACTCATAGAGACACAGAGACTCATAGAGATACACAGAGACTCATAGAGAGATACAGAGACCCATAGAGACACAGAGACTAATAGAGATACTCAGAGACTTGTAGAGATACACAGAGACTCATAGAGACACACAGAGACTCATAGAGACACGCAGAGACGCATAGAGACACACAGAGACTCATAGAGATACACAGAGACTCATAGAGAGATACAGAGACGCATAGAGACACACAGAGACTAATAGAGATACACAGATACTCATAGAGATACACAGAGACTCATAGAAATACAGAGAGACTCATAGAGATACACAGAGACTCATAGAGACACAGAGACTCATAGAGACACACAGAGACTCATAGAGAGACACACAGAGAGACGCATAGAGATACACAGAGACTCATAGAGACACACAGAGACGCATAGAGACACACAAAGAGACACATAGAGATACACAGACTCAGGGAGATCACAGAGACTCATAGAGACACACAGAGACTAATAGAGACACACAGAGACTCATAGAGATACACAGAGACTCATAGAGACACACAGAGACTCATAGAGACACACAGAGGCTCATAGAGACACACAAAGAGACGCATAGAGATACACAGAGACTCATAGAGACATACAGAGACTCATAGAGACACACAAAGAGACGCATAGAGATACACAGAGACTCAGGGAGATACACAGAGACTCATAGAGACACACAGAGACTCATAGAGACACTCAGAGACTCATTGAGACACAGAGACTCATAGAGACACACAGAGACTCATAGAGATACACAGAGGCTCATAGAGACACACAAAGAGGTGCATAGATACACACAGAGACTCATAGAGATACACAGAGACTCATAGAGATACACAGAGACTCAGGGAGACACACAGAGACTCATAGAGATACACAGAGACTCATTGAGACACACAGAGACTCATTGAGACACACAGAGACTCATAGAGACACACAGAGACTCATAGAGATACACAGAGACTCAGGGAGACACACAGAGACTCAGGGAGATACACAGAGACTCATAGAGAGATACACAGAGACTCAGGGAGATACACAGAGACTCATGGAGATACACAGAGAGTCAGATACACACAGAGACTCAGTGAGATACACAGAGACTCATAGAGATACACACAGAGACTCAGAGACACACAGAGACTCATAGAGAGACACACAGAGACTCAGGGAGACACACAGAGACTCATAGAGACACACAGAGATAGAGAGTGTCCGCGCTGGGCGTGGTTTTCTTTTCTTTTGCCATCTGCTGCTGCTGCTGCTTATTTTTCCCGAGCGGCCTTACTTCATGAGAACACAAGAATTGTTGTTTGTTTTAAACGTTTGTTTTTAAATTTGCTTGATCGCCGGCGCTCGCCGCACCGCTGTTGGCTTAGGTACGGTGCGAAAGAAGTTCAGCGTTACTGTATATATACACAGAGACCCTGAAAGACCCGCAGAGATTCATACCCACAGAGACCTACGGAGACTCAGATCCAGAGACCCATAGAGACCCACAGAGACTCAGACCCACAGAGACTCAGATCCATAGAGACCCACAGAGACTCAGACCCATAGAGACCCACAGAGACTCAGACCCATAGAGACCCACAGAGACTCAGATCCATAGTGACCCACAGAGACTCAGACCCATAGAGACCCACAGAGACTCAGACTCATAGAGACCCACAGACTCAGACCCATAGACACCCACAAAGACTCAGATCCATAGAGACCCACAGAGACCCAGACCCTTAGAGACCCACAGAGACTCAGACCCACAGCGACTCAGACCCATAGAGACCCACAGCGACTCAGACCCACAGAGACCCACAGAGACTCAGACCCACAGCGACTCAGACCCATGGAGACCCACAGCGACTCAGACCCATAGAGACCCACAGAGACCCAGACCCATAGAGACTAACAGCGACTCAGATCCATAGAGACCCACAGAGACTCAGATCCATAGAGACCCACAGAGACACAGACCCATAGAGACCCACAGAGACCCGCAGAGACACAGACCCATAGAGACCCATAGAGACCTACAGAGACTCAGACCCACAGAGACCCACAGAGACTCAGACCCATAGAGGCCCACAGAGACTCAGACCCATAGAGACCCACAGCAACTCAGACCCATAGAGACCCACAGAGACTCAGACTCATAGAGACCCACAGAGACCCATACCCATAGAGACCCACAGCGACTCAGACCCATAGAGACCCACAGAGACCCAGACCCATAGAGACCCACAGCGACTCAGACCTACAGCAACTCAGACCCATAGAGACCCACAGAGACCCAGACCCATAGAGACCCACAGCGACTCAGACCCACAGAGACTCAGACCCACAGCGACTCAGACCCATAGAGACCCACAGAGACCCAGACCCATAGAGACTCACAGCGACTCAGATCCATAGAGACCCACAGATACTCAGATCCATAGAGACCCACAGAGACACAGACCCATAGAGACCCACAGAGACCCACAGAGACACAGACCCATAGAGACCCATAGAGACCCACAGAGACTCAGATCCATATAGACCCACAGAGACA